CGGAGTATCGTGTTGTTGCTCTAACCAATTAAAATCTACCATTTAAATAAAACACTTTAACGGTTTAAAACGCGATATATTAGTTAAACTTATTTGAAAATGATTTTTAACTTCGGCCCGACATTTCGGATGCTCTGCAGCAGCCGTGGTGGACCACGGCTTTCAAATAAGTTTAACTAATATATCGCGTTTTAAACCGTTAAATTGTTTTATTTAAATGTGTACTACTCGCGTAAACTATAGACAGTATTTAAAATCTATCATGTCATCCTACATCGTCATTCATTTTCAATCTAAATAGATTTTTTATTTTATTTAGTATTTGATCGAGTTTAAATTTAAAAATATTGCTTGTCTGTTCATCGTTGACAAATAAACTTATCTTGTTAAAAAAGTTCTTGACAATCGCTACATGGCTTTATAATTTTCCTTTTTGCTTCTTGTAAATTTTTCTCTGGTTCAACATTAAACATAATTTTTCTTTCATTGACGCTGGGTCGTGACTCGGAGGAAAATTTGATATTCCTACTACCTTAATATCCAGAATTTCAAACGAAGACCAACATCTTACAGAAAAATTATATATTGTTTATATACATGTTGGACCCGCTGGGAATCGAACCCACGAATCGTTTATTGTAATTAGCCGTGCATTGCTGCCCGTTAAAACCTATAAGTAGTAACTTCTGTGATTACGGTCTTAATCGACAAAGTATTGTCTTCTACTTTCAGATCTAGCAACGCGTCGTTAGCCATAATCTAGCAATGAAAGCCAGCACCCAGCGAACCCTAATTCTCTATCAGTGTTGACGTTATCTACAATATTTTCATGGCTAGGTCCATAATGGCATAATTACTATGCTCAATAGTTCAATGTCGTGTTAGTTCTACGTATTTTGCGACAGGGAAAATGTTATGATGGCCTCAATTAACTAGTTTTATTATTGTAACCTTTGATCTTGTCATAATATATAAAGCCCCGGATAGAAGCGGAGCATGTTCGCCGCTTATATTTGGACCGCCTCTGTAGATGTTTAACGTGTCGCCTAGCATCGCGTTAAGCGTCACAGATCTTGGAGTCCAATCTCCAGGGCGCAGAAGTCTGATCAACTACTTGTTTGTAAATAAAAGCGATCAGTAAAACGGACACTGGTTCGCCGCATGTCCCACGGGAGGAAACTGAGTTTCACTTTCGTATATTTGTTGCTGGTAATCGTTTTTTGGTGGAAATAGACCCTAGCTATTTAACATTTTAACAAGCTGCACAAGTCTATTTTGGCTCTCAATATTCAGAAATCTACAAACTGAAACGGAAACGCAATTCAATTTACGTCTTATCCATTCGTGGACGATGCCTGACGTGCCCCGGATGTAATTTCGATATTCCTATCAATCATTTAATATTTAGATTTTCTAGACGAATTTGGTGCATCTAAAATATTATAATATTATTTAGAGCTTGGTGGGAATCAAACTCACAGTCCGTTGATTATATAAGTCATACATTTGGAACATTGTATGTTTTCGTCTCATAATATACTCGTATAAAACAATTTGGAGTTTGATCGAAATTTTAAATCGAGAACGGCTATACTTATCACTACCTAAGAGTCAGTTCGCTTGACGGGCAAAGAAAGTATTTTACAGCAGACATTCCGATTATCATTCACAGTTTATAATATGTATTAAACTGTTTCATTAAACCTTTATTACATTAATCCATTTATTAATTTCAGATATAAATAAACTATAATAAATTAGGATTTCCTTGCTAGAAACCATTACTTAGAAATTTCTTATACCTTAATTTAAAAGTATTCAGTGAAGATTAAGATTATCTTTGTCTTTAATCTTTTTAATTTCATGTCCTATACCTAACACCAGATGTGCTAGCGACTTCGTCTGCGTAGAATAGTTATTTTGGGCATCAATATTTGTTTTTGTAAACCTTCTTAGCTTTCTATAGTCGCGTCCCGTCGTTTTAGTAAGTTTATCTTTAAATATATACATATACTATAAGGCGGACTGTTTTTTAGATCATTTTAAGAGAAATCATTTTTTCATACATAATTTATGAATTTTTGGGAATCTTGAACCGTTTTCGCAGCACCCAACGCCTCGCTCTTATTAATCGCATCGCGTGCTGTTTCAGCCTGTATAGCCTATAATAGCCTGCCTCGATAAATTAGATAACCAACACAAAAATAATATTTCAATTCGGACTCAGTAGTTCCAGAGTTTAGCGCATTCAAACAAACAAACAAACTCTTCAGCTTTATTACATTACTACAGGTGACACATGACTGTAAGCGTCTAAACGAACCAAATATGCATATTTATGTATACTCAAAAGAAACTAACGATAGCTGTTTGTTCATGATAATTAACATAAAAAAAATCTATTTTTAAGTTTGTCTTTTTTGTATGTGTTTTAGCTGTAACGTTAACTGGTATGTTTTTGAAAACTTTATTAATTTTTACATGTTATTGCACATGAAGGCGTTATATAATTTAAAAATCGAAAATAAATTGAAAAAAATTTCGACTCGGGCAGGACTTGAACCGGCATCGTCAGCGTTCCGTGCTGTTGTTCTACCAATTAACTCAATGGACTCGGTAGCTCAATTGGTAGAGCAACAGCATGGAACGCTGACGATGCCGGTTCAAGTCCCCGAGTCGAAATTTTTTTCAATTTATTTTCGGTTTTTAAATGGTATATTTTTTTTCAAGAAGACGTTCCTTTTTTATTATTTTTACGTATCTCACAAGGTGCCGTTTATTTAAATTAAGATACTATTCTGAATTCTAAGTATCCGTCACATTCCGTCCATTTAATATTTTATTCTAAAATGGATTAAATACTGTCTATAGTTTACGCGAGTAGTACACATTTAAATAAAACACTTTAACGGTTTAAAACGCGATATATTAGTTAAACTTATTTAAAAATGATTTTTAACTTCGGCCCGACGTTTCGGATGCTTTGCAGCAGCCGTGGTCACGGGGATACCGAAGTTAAAAATCATTTTTAAATGAGTTTAACTAATATATCGCGTTTTAAACCGTTAAAGTGTTTTATTTAAATCTAAAATGGATTTTTAATATGGAAATTATTCTTATTTAATTAGAGATAATATTAAGACGTTGAAGAGTATTTATTGGTTAAAATAAATTTAGTGCTAGATACCGTGTATGTATTATTTGTTATACTAGGAGATCTAGGCCGGAGCATCTGTCAAGATTTTATTGTCAGAGAATTAACGAAAGACGAGGTGAAGAGAAATAAATAATACCTCGGATTCGAATGGTAAATTGGGACAATTTGTTGCTAACTGAATTTGGATTCTACCCAGGTTTTTCCGCAAAGGGGACTTTTAGGGAACCCGAGTCAATCTAATCGGGACTTTTATACATTGGAGAGACAATGAATTTTATAAAGGTGGACCTTTGATATGATTGCGTAAAAGACAGAGATGAATATTTTTTCATTCAATCTGAATCTTTTGGGTCTAAGTCTGTAGTTTACGCGAGTACACATTTATTTAAAACAGTTTACCGGTGTAAAACGCGAAATATATTAAGCTTACTAGCTGTTTCAGCGACGTTATTGCAAACCCCGTCATCTTTATAAACTTAAGCTGTTACCAACTTTACTTTGGTACCAGTTGTTCTTATGTTCCTATTTATTTACGTTTCTCCCAGAGTACGTCCTTTCTATCAATGAATAGTTTCCTTATTGAAATATCATTTAATGTATGAATGATATTTTAAGAGCCTTTAAGAGTTATCACACATCAATTTCTCGATACTCAACTTTCCTATTTATCGCATCTGAAATAATTCTTTATAGGGTAATTGAAATTAAAAAGCCGTTAAAATATAAATTTGGTAGTTTATAAACGAATTGTTTTCGGTAATCGACTAGTATATTGCTAAATTATTCCATGTATTATCAAGTAATAGCCGTGAAGTGCCAAATAATGTACTTTATTTGTCACTATCTGTCACTACACTATACATGATGTTTCCCGAATAAGTGTCTTCAGGTTCACACTTTGTCCCATAAGATATATAATTGAAAACATGTAATGGTAGTCAAACTTTTAAACATCTGAACTATGCATGGTTAAATTGCAAAAAATAAGTCAAGCATGCAGACTTTTATACTTTAGAACAGATATTCTTTTCAGTAGTCGTAGGATCTACAGTTTTATACAAAATACCAAAAGTTCATAATAAAGTTATGTATATCAATGTTTTCTTATTGTATAATTGTCTATGTACTCAGGTACAGGTATAATGTATTTATCGATACGTATTAAGAGTAACTGTCCTTTACTTATTTATTAAGCGTCATGTTGTTTAAAACGTAAAGTTCTTATGTAGAAAATGTTTTAGTAGCATTTTTTTATTTTATTGTAATTTGAACCTATTCTAATATTTTCTATTTAACTTACGACTCATCTCGCTTTTATAAATGGATTTAAAAAGTATTGCAAAAGTTGCACATTTGGAATTCGAACTGCCTACTTGCGATCGGTTGCGCTGAGTAGACTAGGTTAGTTAATCAATATGTGTTAGGAATTATATCAAAATATTCAATGCTCTTTCTCAGTACTCTTTGTAATTAACGCGAATAGTACACATTTAAATAAAACAGACGGGATCTTCCCGTGACCACGGCTGATGCAAAGCATCCGAAACATCGGGCCGTAGTAAAATAATTTTCAAATATGTTTAACCAATATATATCGCGTTTTAAACCATCGAAGTGTTTTATTTCAATGTTCTTTCTTTGAACAGTTGCGAACTTTTGCTTCATCCTGCCTAAATAAACAGATAACAAAGTGTCATAAGAAAATGACAAATGCCCACCGTCGTTATCGCACACCATAGGGGCAATCCAATGAGATATTCAAATTAGTTAGAATATAAAAGGGTTATTGTAATTCACTTTGCGTACATTTTGCTGTTCACTTCACTTTCTTATCGGCGGCACGATGTGGTATACCGGATTTGTGTTGTTCGCTGTAGCTGTTGGAGTTCATTCAGGTAATATGTTGTTTTACAGTTCTAATAGAATTCTAGATTAGTTATCTTAAAGTCTTTTTGACCACTATGGTCCTATGTAGTGATGGATGTGGCACAATGCCCCAAAATATATTAGTAGTCAAAATTATATTTCATTATCGTATTTATCTGTTTAACATCTGTTTTGTAAATAAGAAATCATAATAGCGCAACTAAACCTAAACTCTACTGTGTTTTAGTTATAGTTAAAAATGCCTTAATAAAAACGCTATTTCATGATGTATCACATATTTATCACATTGTCTATAGGTAGGTAGTTCGGCATCCATATTCCGAACATCCAAAGCTTTAGGTGTTATATGGCTGGGGTATTTCCTCTCTCAAGAAGAAAACCACATGCCTGTCTGACCTCTTTTATATTAAAAAGAAGTGAAATTTCGCCTTGATAAAAAGTTTTTTCAAAGTTTTCTAGAAAATGCTTTTACAGTTTCAGATATTATCCTATCAGAGAAGGTTCCTCTTGAAGGCAGACCCAATGCCGCCGGGCTCCCGAACGCGGATACCAGAATTGTGAACGGGGAGGAAGCTGATATAAAGGACTACCCCTACCAAGTGTCATTTATCGTTAACAACTCATATTTTTGCGGAGGTTTTATCGTGAGTGAGAACTACATTTTGACAGCTGCGCACTGCGCTCAAAAGTAAGTGCTTTCATGAAACTGTAAAAAGTATCTAATATATACATTATTTTTTTCACGTGATAGATTTATATAAATTAGAAATCAACTTTAGATTTCTAATAAATAAACAATCATAATAATAATTATTATTATTGCCTGTTGTAGATACAGATTCCCCCTTCACGAAGGATTACGTTATCCGACTCTCACTATGTACATTTCAAACCTTCCGGTTTCTTTGCAAAATTTGACTTGAGTTGATATCTTCTAGCGGAAGGTAATATCAACTAAAGATATTGTTAGTTCCTGTATGCCCTAATTTTAACAACATAAAGCTAAGTGAGTACATTGGGTGCTTATGCGTATAATATAGGCAATGATCGAGGGTTCGACTCCCTCCCGTGTTATCTTTTCTTAAATAGAATTTTAATTGGGATTGTTTCTCTATTTGTTGTAAGATAAAGCAAAACGAGCTTAAAATCTGTTTTATCTTCAGTGACAAAACTATTCTGTTTTCGTTTTTTACAAAAAACAATGGATGGGTGGGTAGAAACTTATTATATTATAAGATACGATTTCAATTCAAACAATTGAAAATATATGAAAATTGGGAGAAGTGTCAATATGAGTCTGAATGTTGACATAAAATGTATATTATGTTGTAACAAGGTCATCTAATAGACAAACATCTGTTACTATTGTTATAGTTCATGGTATTTGGGTGTAATACTTATAATTTCATAAATCATTTAACAAATACTTCCGGTATCCATTCTTATTTTATAAATCTTTTTTCGATACATCCGATTGAGAGTATATCAACGATTTTTAAACACACCGGTTGAATTGTTAATAGATCTACGAAACGGACTAATCAAGTGTTACAATTTAATAAACCTATGGTATAATTTACTTAATTAATTTTTCCGTCCATTTATGTAAATCATACATTATTAATCAGTAAATAAATATTGGTAACTGATTATAAGAAGCATTTCCGGTTGATGTTTGATTGGTCGATGTTAACCGACCAATCAGGCATCAGTGTTGTTTTTTTTTTTAAAAAAGAGGCTTCTTGGTGTAAGATAGAGCGAGGGCGTTCAGTGCGATTGTAGTCGTGAAACTGAAACGAACGATTATAAGTGTTCCATAAATAAAGTAAAGGAAAAGTAAGTTTCGTGTTGTTATTTCACAACGGCGCTCTTCTGGCCTTATAATGGTAAAGAATTATCATAACTCAGAAGTGGGATAAAGAAGAAGACGCCTACAAACGACGAAGACAAAATATAAGTGTAAGTACTATAAAATTATTATATTTCTATTTACCACTTCTTTTTTTTTCGTTTCATTTTATTGCTGTTAAATACAAAAAATAAATCCAGTTAGTGATATTAGGACGGATTAAATTTGTAATAATTTTAAAGTATTCTTATGAAGAATCCATTTTACTGGAAACTGGGGATGGTTTTTGATATTACTTTGTTTAATTGTAAAACCCATTTACATTTTTTTTTGTTGTTTTTTTTTCCTCTTTCCTCTCTTTTTTTTATAATAAGTTTATTGATGTAGTGGCTACCGCTTTGGACTACAAAGCCGAAGATTGCGGGTTCGAGGCCCGCGAGTGGTAAATATTATGCGATGACCATCACATTTGTTGCTGAGGCATGGAAGTATATTCGAATTTAATTGCATAATATTTCAAAATAAAAATATATTATGGTGGGTAGATATTTTCGATGAAAAAAAAAAACATGATCTAATACTGCTTATCCATTTAAACCAATTAAGGCCAGAATAATAAAAATACACAAAAATGCATACAGATATTTAAACCATAACTTTATTTATGTTGTTTGAGGTTGAAACATGGAAGAAGAAAAGAATCGCCGACGGTCAAAGTCGAGAAAGACAGCCACACCCCGTCGTCATGAAACAGTCGCTGCTGGAAGTCACAGTTGCAGCAGATCAAGAGGCCGCACAGTTTCTCGATCACCAAACATGCGTAGGGCGAGATGCCGCCGGTCACGCTCGAGAGGTTCAAGGCACTCCAGATCCACTTCGAGACGGAAGTCACGTGAGCATTCGAGATGTATTAATTCTAAGCATCAAAGAAAGTCGTCTATTGAAAGATCCAGATCAAGAATAACAAAGTCTCGTTCGCCGATTCCTAATACTTCACCTAGATATAATAATAGTAATGATATTCAAAATGTGTTTTTCAAGAAATTTTTTGATGTAATAGTTAATATGAAGCCGAATAGCGACAATGACAGGTTCCCAGTTTTAAATGTCGTACCAGAATTTGATCCTTTGAATAAGGGTCAGACAGTAGAGTCGTGGATTCATAAGGTTGACGAATGTGCTCAGATTTATGGTTGGAACGACAGACAGATAGTACACTACGCGATGCCTAAGCTTAACGGTATTGCTAAAACTTGGTATCAAGGATTACCTTCTCTTCTCCATTCCTGGTCTGAATGGAAAATAAAACTTCGCGAGTCATTTCCAACAAGAGAAAACTACGCAGAATTATTAACCGAAATGCTAAATAAGCGTGCTCGTTATGGAGAATCCTTAGACTTGTACTATTACACAAAAATGAACCTTCTAAACAGATGCGAAATAACGGGCAGGCGTGCAGTAGATTGTCTTCTTGCTGGTATTGATGATCGTAATGTACGCGTTGGTGGGCAAAGTGCTGAGTTTAAAGAGCCCGAACAAGTACTAAATTTCTTTAAATCTGTCAAAGTAGGAAATGACAAAATAAATGACTCCGCTAAGATTAGGGACAGGGAGAAACGGATTCACTCTTCTATTAACAATGATAAAATGCCAAATATCTCTCAAGGCCAAAAAACTCAGCTTGGCATTACTTGTTACAACTGTAACGAACGGGGTCACCCGTTTTTCCGTTGTCCCAAACCAAAACTGCATTGTTCTAATTGCAAACTATTGGGTCATTTAGCTTCCGACTGTCCAAAGTTGAAGCAGGGTGCTGTCACGGACAATAAAAGTAAAAATATTTTGAAAATAGACGATGGTCAAGATACAAGTTTGAAATATAAAATTCCAATTAAAATTAACAATAAATTGACCAGTTGTGTAATTGACTTAGGTAGTGAAGGTACCCTCATACAACTTAGCGAAGCAAAGCGATTGCAATTGCAGTGGCAGGCAGTAAATGGTCCAATCTTAAAAGGTATTGCCAGTGCAGCCTGTCTTCCAGTTGGTTTAGTATACGCCACAGTTGAGGTTCAAAATATCACTGAATATAACGTACATATTTTAATTGTCGATGACCATGTTATACCATGCCCGGTGTTATTAGGCCATACGTTTACGGAACGACCTTCAATTAAAATTATAAAAACCGATACGGACGTCATATTTCAGAAGTGTCAGTCATACCAAACAGTAAAATGTGCACTTGTTTGTAAAAAAAATATTACTTTAGGAGTTCAGGAAATTAAGTCTGTTCCAGTCAGGTGTTCAAATAATTATTCGGGAATTATTTATGTACACGGTAGCGTGAGATATATTTTAAATCGTGAGCATTACTTATTACCTGGTGAATACACTTTAGCAGAAGGTATAGGAACAGTTTTAATTCAAAATATTAGTCATGGTGAATTCACTTTGCATTTAGGAGAACTGATTACTAGAAGTTATTCCATTCAACAAATGAATATAAATTACTCTGATGTGCTAGGCTTGGGAGATTTTGATGATAGTATTAAATGCGGAGATAGTTTAACTCTAGAACAAAAGAATCAACTTAAAGTTTTGCTGGATAGTTATAAACATTGTTTTTCTTCTGGACTAAATGATTTAGGCTTTACTACTGAAACAGAAATGACCATAGAATTAATCGACTCCAATCCAGTAGTATATCGCCCATATCGATTATCGCATGCTGAACGTCAGCAGGTTAGAAAAATGATTCAGGATATGTTAGACAACAATATTATTAGGGAGTCTAGTTCACCATATGCTAGTCCGATTGTATTAGTTAATAAGAAGTCCGGGGAAAAGAGGTTGTGTGTAGATTATCGTGCACTGAACCGCAAGACTAAGCGTGAACATTACCCGTTACCACGTATTGAAGACCAACTTGATCGACTTTCTGGTAGTAAACTATTCATATCTTTAGATTTGGCTTCAGGGTACTACCAGATACCCATTTCAGAGCAATCTCGTGAGAAAACTGCATTCGTGACTCCAGACGGTCAATATGAATATAACAGAATGCCTTTTGGGCTCGTCAATGCACCATCTATATTTCAGCGAACAATGAATAGGATAATTCAGAGTTCTCCTGTAAATATGTACACAATTGTATATATGGATGATATACTTATACCTGCTAGCTCGTTTCAAGAAGGATTATTTCGTTTAGAAGAGGTTTTAAAATTATTATTAAAAAACGGGCTAACACTAAAATTATCCAAGTGTAACTTTTTCTTTGATAATATTGAATACCTAGGGTACGAGGTTAGTGCGGAAGGTGTTAGACCTGGAACAACAAAAACTAAAGCAATTTTGGAATTTACTCCGCCGGGTAATGTTCACGAGGTAAGACGTTTCATAGGACTCGCAAGCTTCTTCAGAAGATTTGTTAAGGGATTTGCAGAATTAGCTCGCCCCTTGACGGCTCTTCTAAGAAAAGACGTCACGTGGCAGTGGGGCGACAGAGAGTCTGAAGCATTTAATAAATTAAAGCAGGCACTAGTAGATAGGCCGGTATTAGCAATATATGATCCCACCTTCGAAACCCAACTTCACACGGATGCAAGCAAAATAGGAGTAGCAGGAATTTTATTTCAGAAAGACTTGTCTGGCACACTACGTCCAGTTGCGTACTATAGTAGGCAAACAACTCCGGAAGAGCAAAAATTACACTCGTATGACCTTGAGACGCTTGCCGTTATAACTTCTTTGAACAAATTTCGTGTCTATTTACTTGGAATTAAGTTTAAAATAATAACAGACTGTAACGCTCTTCGCGCCACCCTAACTAAACGGGATCTTGTTCCCCGAATTGCTGTGATATAGAATATAGATCGGGAGAGCGAATGGCTCATGTTGATGCTCTAAGCAGATGTCCTATTCCAAATGAACCAGATCCAGGTCATTTATTAGACGTGCTAGTCGTGGGCTCTGACGATTGGTTAACAACATACCAGCAGTCTGACGAAGAAATAAAACGTATAGCAGACTTACTAAATGACCCTAAAACTAAAGAAACCACAGAAACATTTAAAAATTACAAACTAGTTAACGATCGCGTTTATAGGGTGCTTGATGATGCTACTATACGCTGGTTAGTCCCTCGGGGAGCCAGATGGCAATTACTTAAGGCTAACCATGATGACATAGGCCATTTTGGTTATGATAAAACATTAGGTCGTATTAAGGCACATTATTGGTTCCCAAAAATGAGGCGCTTTATTAAAAAGTATGTAGCAGCATGCGTCGAGTGTGCTCATCATAAATTGCCGAGTGGGAAAAAGTCGGGTGAACTACACCCAATCCCAAAAGTAGAAATCCCCTTCGACACTATACACGCTGACCACTTGGGCCCATTTATAAGAACTAAACGCGGTAACACCTATATTCTAGTAATCGTTGACGCATTTACGAAATTTATAAACCTTACGGCCGTACGTAACACGAAATCAGTCACAAGTATTAAAGTTTTCAGAGAACATTTTAGTTATTTTGGAACACCAAATCGCATTATCACTGATCAGGGAACTAGTTTTACAAGTAACACTTTTAAAAAATATATTAAGTCTACCGGTATCAAGCACGTATTGAACGCAGTTTCAACGCCCCGAGCCAACGGCCAAGTGGAGCGCTATAATCGTACCATTTTGGCCGCACTTGGTGCTATGAACCATAACAAGCCAAACGGTGTTTGGGATGAGCACTTGCCCGATATTCAATTAGGGATCAACACAACTATTCATGCTACAACAAAAAAGACCCCGACTGAGCTCTTGTTCGGAAGAACCGTGACCAATCCATCCCAAAGTATATTTAACGAAATAATTACCGACACTAGATCTGCCACGCCAACATCGTTATCAGATATCAGATCTGAAGTTGGTGAGCTAATAAGAGAACAGCAGTCAAAGGATAAGGATATTTATGACGCTCATCGTAATAAAAATGTAATATTTAAAGTAGGTGATCTAGTCAGGGTCATTAGGACAACAACTGGTATAGAGGGGCAATCAAAAAAACTTGATCCTAAATGTAGAGGCCCATATCGAATTAAAAAGGTACTTCCGAATGATCGGTATATCGTTGAAGATACGCCAATAACCCGGAAGGGTAAACGATATGAAGCTATTATAGCTGTAGATAAGATTTTTCCATGGCTAGTTATGACACAACCTGTTCCCACCGATGACGAATTATCGGATGACAATAATTCTGAGCTTAACGGATCTAATTCATCTTAAAAGGGACATTAAGTAGGTACTTAATGTTCCTTTGTCTGGTCTGTCACTGTCGCTCCTTGATGTTGGAAATAATTATGCATTAATAAGTGTTATGTAACAATAAAGATTTTTTGATTTTGATTTTTTTTGATGTTTTTATGTATATCGATCGCAGTTAAGGTATGATAGCATATTGTAATGTTGCTATCATATTAGAAGTATAAAAGTGACAGAAACTTTAAAGTTTTAAGTCTTGCTGCGGTGGTTAAGGTCATGAACTAAAGCAATAATAAAATATGTGTCGGTAACGGTCAACGTCATGGACCGGGCACATATAGTTAATACCCAGTTAAGGTCATGAACTAAAGCAATAATAAAATATGTGTCGGTAACGGTCAACGTCATGGACCGGGCACATATAGTTAATACCCAGTTAAGGTCATGAACTAGGGTTATTAATTTTAAGTTTATTGTATGATGGTAGTAAGCACTATACCGATACGTTTTACATTAATGTGGAAAAATATTAAAGGAGATATATATTATGCATATTAATAGTAAATATGTTTATTCCTCTAATGAATGTTTAATGTTCCTAAGATTATTTACGTATGTACAAGATCTTACACTTAAATGCTATGTGCTTGGCAGTTACGAAGGGACTCGTCATCGAGCGGATGGCCGAGTTGTTATAGTTCATGGTATTTGGGTGTAATACTTATAATTTCATAAATCATTTAACAAATACTTCCGGTATCCATTCTTATTTTATAAATCTTTTTTCGATACATCCGATTGAGAGTATATCAACGATTTTTAAACACACCGGTTGAATTGTTAATAGATCTACGAAACGGACTAATCAAGTGTTACAATTTAATAAACCTATGGTATAATTTACTTAATTAATTTTTCCGTCCATTTATGTAAATCATACATTATTAATCAGTAAATAAATATTGGTAACTGATTATAAGAAGCATTTCCGGTTGATGTTTGATTGGTCGATGTTAACCGACCAATCAGGCATCAGTGTTGTTTTTTTTTTTAAAAAAGAGGCTTCTTGGTGTAAGATAGAGCGAGGGCGTTCAGTGCGATTGTAGTCGTGAAACTGAAACGAACGATTATAAGTGTTCCATAAATAAAGTAAAGGAAAAGTAAGTTTCGTGTTGTTATTTCACAACGGCGCTCTTCTGGCCTTATAATGGTAAAGAATTATCATACTATTGTCAAGGTTAAATAAATATGTCAGAAAGAAATGATTCTCTGTTAGATTAGTTACGGAAGTTTCTTATTGTATTCCTATGAGGCTTCTCAGCAGTCTATTAATAGGGTCGAATAAGATTAACAAAATAGAGGTCAATGCGACATTTATTTAATATTTTATACAGAAGAATAAAGCTGTTTTAAGATTTCTTCGATGAAATAAAAAAACATTGATAAACAAATGTAAAAGTATTGTTATATTTCTGTACAAATTATTTTGATTAATTTTGAAACAGTTGTTTAAATTCTCAAAACGCAAATCTATTTATATTTGCCTAGTAGTTTAAACACTTCCAAAAACTATACTAATATACTAATTTTAGTGTTGATCCCAAAACGGTGGTCCTTCGAGCCGGGAGTTCTTTCCGGAAGAACGGAACGATAATTGAGATAGCTGAAGTCAAACCCTTTCCCGGGTACGACGATCCGCCGTTCGACAAAGATGTAGCTTATATGAAAACTGCTAAGCCCATAGAGTTTAGTGAGACAATGCAGCCGATTGCTCTACCTCCGAAGAGCAGAGCAGTCCGCGGTGATTCTGAGATTGTTGTTAGTGGTTGGGGAAGAACAAGGGTACGTTTTAAGTTTTATTATCATGTTTAAGGTATTTTAAAATTATAGAGCTTTAAAATATAATTTTGAAGAGATGTCAATTAAGCTAGTAAGTAGTGTATTTTTAATTTTAGAGCTAGTAAGTAGGACATCCAATAAATTTGCTTCCAAATTTGACAAACGTCTATTAAAACTGTTTTTTCTAAGGTGCCGTACATATTACGTTGTAAGACCGAGTTAACTTAATTTTGTAATTTATTAAGGGCGTACTATAATTTGCATTTCCTTTTTTAAATTCTTATCAATATAGAGAGGGTGGTGGCTTTCAACAGGTCAATAACCGCTTGCTTATCTTTCAATTGTACTTATGGCGTGGGTTAAGTGATTATCAAAAAAGGTCCTGCTTATTTATTTTTCTTTAAAGAGCAATCAAACGGGAATGAAGTATTAAAAATTATTTCACCCGCATTACCATATAGAATTACGCTTTTAAAACGATTTTAATATCAAATTTTATTATTATTATCTCTACTTTTAAATAAAAGACTTCCATTGGTTTAAAACGCGGCATGTACTAGTTAACTAAATACAATAATTTTTTACTACAGTTCAACGTTTCGGATGCTTTGAAACATCCGTGGTCACTGTATACAGTATGTACACTGTACACTGTATACATTGTTCAACTTTTCGCGTTTTATACCGTTAAATGTGTTTTATTTAAACGTGTACTACTCGCGTAGACTGCAGCTGTTACTCATCATCATTACTGTTATAGCGTAAAAGTATTTTGAATATTGAATTTTTTGATCACTGCTATTTTAAGTAAATTTTAGCATGACTAGGACTAAAGCTATTTCGTTTACAGCAAGGTGCTTCATCGATCCCTGATAGGCTGATGGCTGTTAAGCTGCCCGTGGTGAACTTCTTCCAATGTTTCCTTGTCTACCCGACCGTGCTCACCTCGAATATGTTCTGTTCTGGAAACTTCTTCCTTGGAGGGAAGAGTACTTGTCAGGTAAGAGTTTTTTTTTTTGATACCTTGAAATGCCGTACTACATATGAGGCTGATGAAAACGTGACGTAACCTGTCTGTATGTTTTTACTTTTAAGTTTTGAATATTTTTATTTTTTGTTGGTGTTAAATTGTTTCGCCTACCTTGCACATCTCTAAATTTTAGGTTGCTTGGAAGAGATCGCTTGTAAGCGATAAGGCCGCCCATTGCACTCCATTCTAGCATATAATTTTTGTCTGTCTTTTTTTTTGAGCAATTTTTTTATTACTGTTTTTTTTCGTGTGAGTATTTCTTCCTGGTTTGTTATTGGCCGGCAGCACTCTATGGCTAATAATATACCTAAATAGGGCGGGTCGTGGGTTCGATGCTCAACGTTCCCTACAAGTTGGCCTTATTTAAAGACAGTATTTAAATATGTGTATCAAATGGAATTTGTTCGGATAATGTACCACTAGATGAAGGAGCCGTGAAGATAAATCACGTTGCAGTTTCAGTCTGTGGACAGCGCATCTTGTTTGGATTTTATATAGCTGGGGTATCAAGTGAACCCCCCATGCTTGTCCTCTATCATGATAGAGGGAGATGGACAACACCCAATTTGATGATGTGTTTCAGGGTGATTCGGGCGGGGCGGCCATCCAAGATAACATGGCTGTTGGTATTGTCTCATTTGGGCGCGGCTGTGGACAGGCCCTATCGCCTTCCGTGTTCGCTGACATTGCTTCGCCGATTTTAAGGGATTTCATTACAGAAAACACTGGTTTATAGTACTTTAAAAGCCACAATATTCAAGTCCTCTTTCACTAACAGTCACTAACTATTAGTGTTTAGAAGTTGTATTGTTTTTAAGATAAACGATAATAGTGTTAAGTTATTTAAGATTTTTGATATCGTCTACCGGTATAAGTATGTGTTTTGTGTTCAATAAAAAAGATCAAAAAGTTTGTAAGGAATTATGTTATTATATTAAAAAATGGCGCTAGCGTAGCAGATTTTAATTTGATATGAGGGACACCCTCCATCGTCATTCCTCCTGAGAATATATAATGAGAGGTTTCTGCAAAGCATCTGTCGGACAGTCGAAATAAATTGTAAATAACTAATATGTTTCGTATTTAAAACTGTTAAAGAGGTTCTATTTAAAAGGGTTCAGTTAGGAAGCAAGCGTTGCATTTTCAATTTTAAATATACTTCGTCATTATTGATTGCTTATTCACCATTACCTTAAAGAAAAACAGAAAATTAAGATATATTCACGCCCACGTCCGTAAGGTCAAAGCTCTAAAATGACTTTGTTTATATAGAACACCCAATAAGCCCGGAACGTTTCACGAAAATATTATATCAATTCCCAAAAACTCTCAAAGGAGATTCATATTGAAGTGGATAAAAGGTTTTAATATAAAGAAAATGTGATATAAGCAAGGCCAATCTAATGAAATGTGTTTTCTGATCAAAGTAGGGAGACTTCGTCGCGACGAAGGGTGAAAATCGGATAAGGAAAAGCCATTTTCCTAACATTCGAATTACACATCCTTTTGTGCTATTCACACGGCCAGCGGGTCGTGATAAGACAATTATCCTACTCAATTAGCTTTCTTCCTTTGCTTTTAGGGTTCCAAAGAGAACATAATCATAAAGTACTTAACAGTTTAAGAATGTTATTAGGAATAAAAGGGCAATATTTCATTTGTGTACTGCAATTTATCTTGTGTGTAGTTTATTAAAAACCGACTGTCTCGTTGGGTGTTAGAAGCACGCTTCTTAGCGCTTGGTGTCAAATTTACCTAAAATGTTGTCAAGTCTTTTCATACTTAATTTAACTTCAACTTAGTACTCATTGCTGTACAAGAACTACCTATTTAAGACGAAGATACCACTTATGTCATGGTTATCACGTGAATCGATCTTATTCCATAAGAACAAGTACCTATCGCTTTATTTGAATTCAAAGACAGAGGGCGCTTAAAGCAAGATTCTAAATATTTTCACTATATATCTATTATATTGGGTATATTGATATATTTATTTTATAAGTAACGATTTAGTTACAGTCTGCTATAATGTTTTTATCTACTTTTTTTTTTTAATTTTACACAAGAACGACGGCAAGAGACCGTGCGTCCGACGGTCTCTTGCCGTCGTTCTTGTGCCAAACAATTTCGTTTTAGTTTAAGTGATAACCGCGAAATAGTAGATAGTACGTGTTCGTGGTATTTGAATTAATTAAATAAATACATATTGACGGGCTCGTCGGTGTAATGGTAGCAATGTATGGTTAATATTCAACAGGTGGTGGATCCCCCCCGGATCTAGTCTAGAATCTGTCGGTCTAAAAATCTGGATATTAAATGCGTGGTAAGAGTATAAAAAATTCATCCGGGTCCATTGTCCACATAAGCCGTGAAGTATATTCCGAACCCAAAACCGGTTTACAGCGCATCTTGATCAGATGTTATATGGCTGGGGTATTTTACCTACCTTGATGGTAAACCTTATTTACGTCTGTGGTCCTATAAAAAAACAAAACCATCCCCTTAACTATACACAAAGCGCCCACGCATCAAGTACGGAAGCGTAATATTGCTTTCCACATCACCGATAATTATAGTCAATTTCACCTTTACCTTGAATGTATTACGAAAAAACTTCCTAATTCTCATACGTAGAAAAATGTATGTTAGAGAATGACTTGCGAGGCTCCTTCCACTAATATTTCCGTTTTGACCCACCATTAGAGGTGATTGTATATTTTTAAAATGACATTAACGTTTGTGTTTACGCAAGTCATAGAATCTTGATACTTACATACATACGTTATATATATCTTACACATACCTGTGTATAACTATGTACGTTATTGTTACGATGTATGGGAGGCAAGTATTTTTTTATTATTCGACTTTGACATTAGCAACACATTCTATCTTAAATCAAATCAAGCATGCAAAACTTGGGGCCCTAGTTTAGTCAAATATTTAAAAGCATTACAAGACTTGGTAAAACCAAAGATGTCTCTTCTGCCGTCCTGCACAACAGATATAAAATGTGTTTCACATCAATAGACGATTCCTCCATCCAATTACGTAAGATTCGTATTTACTAGTAGAGTTTATAAATGGTATATTGTGTTGCTTAGCATTGCGTTGAGTGCGAGATCAAGGAAGACAATAGATTGGATGGGCAGGGCACTGTAAATAAAACTGATCAGTGACACGTACACAGAAATGTTTGGCTCATGCCCCACTTGAGGAAAAGGGATTTTGATTACTTTACAAATAGCGTACGATAAAAGTCCAAAGGCATTCGTAAAATTATATTAGATATTATTTACATATAACTAACAATAAATTAACATTAATATCACAAAGTGTCTACAATAGTCTTTATAGAGAAGGTTACACCAGAGACCATGGCAATTAGAGAAAATAGCACAATTGTAGCATTCTTGATCAGTACGATGTTGTATGGTCCTAGGTCTTTGCCCCAACGCCAGACGGTCTCTGTTATAGCTGGGAGCGAAAGACCCAAGCACGAGAGACAGATAGCACCAACTAACTCCATGAACAACTCTAGTCTTGGTATTGCGGAGGCTAGGCCGACTGCAACCAAAAAAATAGTTTATTCACTACTCGAAAAAAAGTAGAAAATAATTTCTCACTAGAAAGTTTTTTAAGTTTAGTTAGTTTAACGAATTTTTATATATAAAAAAAGTTTATTCTCTAAATCTACAGAATACTTTAAAAATAAATAATTAGCGCGTACGAGTTACCAATTTACAATTATCGCAAAAAAAATATCGTTCGACTAAGTGTTAAAACGTCGTTTATGGTCGAAGATGAAACGAACAAGCATACGTGCCGTGGTAACAGGGGGACGGGCCCTCTTAAAGGTCGGGCTTTAGTTAAAATTGTAAATAAGTTAACTAATACATTCATTAATAAAAAAAAAAAAACATTAATTGCTTTAAAAACATTTGCATAATTCGTGGTAATCGTGCATTTGGACTGTATATTATTATCATTTGTTTTATATGCATAATATTATATTATTAAACACCCAGGAAACGAATTATGATGATAAAATATTACCTGTCAAAAAAGTGCCAGCAAGTCTTAGCGCCGCCAGACCCCACCTGTGGTTACTAGCAGGAATCCTGTGGCTAATTCTTCTCCAAGCCACGTCCACGGGCACATAGAAGATAAGCGCGTATGATAGGACCATAACACACGCGACCAACATCTTGGCAACTTGAGCTAATCTGAAAGTAGGATAGGGTCTGTACCGTTATATTTCGCAGACTAAATTAAATACAATATATTTAAATCAAGCGCTTTTAACGGTTTAAAACGTGAACGTGAATTATACTAGTTAAGTTATCTAAATTTTATTTTGAGTTGGTCTCCCCTCCCGCCGTGACCACGGCTGAGATGGTTTTAAACCGTAAAAACTGTTTTATTTAAATTTGTACTGCTCGCTTAAACTACAGACTCCTTAATAAAATATATGTTGAATGTCAGTTAATATCGATTCATTTTTTAAACGAAGTCTGAAATAAAAATAAAAAAAGAGAATAATTTATTTAGTAATAGTGATAAAGGTTTATTTTATTTCATTTTACTAGGGGGTACATTGTGCACACAAGATTTACGACTAGCAAAGACAGTTTGCGTCGCCTTTTTACTTACATTTCGTCTTGTGGTAGGTTGAGGGTAAGACTTCCTCTAACCGTTTCGCCAAAGCTCAGATAGCCACAAAAACCTACGAAGCCATACAATGCCACTACAGCACTCATTGCTATGTTCAGGACTCCGGGACATCCTAGGAACTGCTGTGGCTTTGTCATCTCATTCTCTATAGGCATCACGACACCGATTCCTTCCATTGCGAATAGGCAAGTACTGAAAATAAATTCAATATATTATACATATTTTTTTTTATAGTTCTGAATTCTTTAAATTTCACTATAAACAGTTAAGCATTTTACACGCTAGTGTAGAACATACATTCTTATTCTTAGGGTTGTTGCGAGTTTTAATATTTTTATTTTTATTCAATTGTGTCATTTACAAATGATAAAAAAATAATTAATATAAAATGTTGACCCTGATTAAATAATAATGCAATTACTGTTAAGGGAAAAAGTAACTATTTTAAACTAAGGCTATTTTTTGGTAAATATTTTATAGCTAGCTGTTACCCCATGACGTCCTTCGTATCTTGTCGTTCTTGCAAGTTAATCTTATAAGCTAGACTATAGATATACTGTTGCGACATTTTTTAAGATCATTGAAACATAAATTATTCTTTCATACATAGTTTTGGGTTTCGTGAACCGTTTTTCGGAATTTTTCAATTTGGACCAGTTGTTCCTGAGATGAGTACGTTCAAACAAACTCTTCAGCTTTATAATATAATATAGTCGGACGTCTCTTGAACTTAAATTTTATAAAATATCACTTTTTGCTGTCTGAATCTTCTTTTTCACCATGATTGGGTGAGGATATAAATTTTCTTACCTGATAAAATTTGGTAGACCCGCAATGGAAGTGGCCAGATTTCTCGTCGAAGGCGGTGGAGGGTCCCTCAAACAGTAGTAAATGGATATGCAGATAGACGTTAACCAAACAAAGTTGGCGATGGCTGAGAATGGCACTAAATACTTGAGCTTCGTTATCTGGTTTAGTGGTACCAGGATCACCAAACTGAGCGCACAGAAGACGGACACGGACCATTTGGGACCACCGTACTCGTCTGATATCTGGAAAAGTATATAAAAGATAACCCATTTCATGATGGAATACTCTAAAATCTATAGATTAAATTTCTCCACGTGGTACGAATGATACAAATTGAGTGGCAAGTTTTCTTCACAACAATTAATTGTTTCCATTGTCATGTAATAATCATTACTTTATATCTTTTGTTTTAATTGGCGTGCGTCACATTTTTATTAAACTGGATTTTATTTTATTAAATTTAATTGTTCATTCATCATGTTACATAAGAGCGTACGCAGGTGACGAACGTGAACCATATAATGTATATGGATATCGCCGCTATCTGCTGGATCAATAGCAATGTAATGCCTAGGATAATCATTGAGAACGAGAAGTACGTAGGGTTCAAATTCCGGAAACGTAATATATGAAGGTGCTAGAGGCAAAGTGGAAGAAAATAAAAATCAACTTCGGCAAAAATGACTGTACAATTATTTTGTAAGAATTATATTAACAATTTTCGGCCACTGTGCTCTTGTTAATTAAGAGTTTTAGACTATGAAAATATAAATAACTTATTAGATTTCTTCTCTCATTCTAAAGCTCAGTTCAGTCTTAAAATTTATTTATATATTATTTCCTATTGTATTTAATGTATCTTTGTTTGCATTATTAATTCTCGGGATAGATAAACCGAAGTTAAGCCGGTCTATACAAACGCAGCGCATATCCCTCTAATTGGAATCAACAAATGCACAGAGAATAAAGTTATTATATTACCTTTGTGAAGGGTTAGTACCATCATTACATTAATGATGGTGCGACTAGGCTTAACTAATACTTAATATTCCTTGTACGAGGCAAATTATTAGAAAGGTGATTTGACTGTTATGTATGGAAGAAATTACTAAAAATTACAGTGCTTTTATATAGGTATCTATTGAATAAAATCGACAATAACGTACGTAGTAAAGCAAGGGATCGGAACTATAAAAAAAACAGTGTAAAACGCGAAACGTATCAGTAAAATGATTTATTTTAACTACAGCCCAGCGTTTCGGATGTTTTACAGCAGCCGTCGTCAAGGGGGGACTGCAGGTTCAGTGTGTATATAATTTGTTACTCTAGCCTCATCTATTTCGTCATAATAAATAAGTATTTGGAGAAACTGGCCGTGTCCAAAAATAAGTAAATTTGTTTGATTTATATTGCGTGCAAAATTATAATGAGTCAAATATATAAATAACTAACAAAGGAAAGTGATATGTATGCATGTGTATTTTTTATCAATATATCTACTAATGTTATCTCACCTGCTTAAAAGACTCCGATATGACTACAACGTAAACACAACAAGCGCCCAAATGTGTAACTGCTAGGGCCCAATCAGCTAGTTCTCTGCAAAATAATGTTAAATATGTAGTAAGTAATAACGGGTTTGTTGGCAGTGTATGGCTCATAATCAACTAGTTGGGGATGCAATTTCTACCGGGTCCAAAATGACTCTATTTTGGACCTGGTAGAAATTAAGTAATTTTCAAGTCAATTTACATTTCTTCTATAATATTATACTTAGACTTCGCCTGGAAAATCCAGGCATTAAGTGGATGGCAGGAATGTCCGAAGCACAAATTATCGCCCAGGAACTCGTTTCATCGCGCTTCAGTTTCGAATATAAGAAAATCCGTAGAGAATTTCCCAAGGTTATTTAAACTGTAAATCTACGCCATATTGGAATATATAATTCGTTCTTATAATAATCGGTACGTTATGTAAGTGTTACACTTCAATTAAGTAACATTCAAATTATTTTGAAATAAAGGCGTACGAAATTAATCAATCTTACCCTTCTACACCGTAAACACTTAGCTATACAACAACAACAAATTCTACACGTTTTGTGCTTAGTAGTTAAATAAGAACATAGAGTTTTAAAAATAGTCTATTGCGAGAACAAAAAGCTACTGAACATAAGGAAACCTAAAAGGACATTTGTATGTGAGTTGGTTACCTGATATGTGGTGCAAAGCGTCTCACGGACTTGGGTCCGTTCTGGAAGACCAAATCACAAGTGTCTGCGTATCCCAAACACGGCTTTTTTACTTCCACGCATAGCTGTTGTGAGGTTTTGACCTGAAATAAATAATATGGATAAAAGCGATATAATATAAAAAGCACAAAATTCTTCTTATATTACGTATGTGTGTTTTGTGTTGCCTCTGAATAAACGTAATTCTATTCTAAGATATAGATTCGATGACCGGTTTGGACAATGGAATGACTATATGTTATTGTGTGACCGCTCGTTTAAATAATCATTATTTTAAATATGTACTGTTTTTACGAACTGATCAACGTAAGCTAATTAAAATGAAACACATTTGACTCCCGAACTTACTGTAAATTAAAAATAAGTAACTAATAAATGAATTTAATTTTTAAACCGTTAAAAGTGTTTGATTTAATTGTGTACTAGTCACATAAAATATAGACAATAGTTATTGTAAGGCCAGCTCGCTGTTGGTCCCAGGTTCGAGTCCAAATACTGTTATGATTTTTTTGTTAATTATTTTCATTAGATATTCGCCAAAGAAACAATTATGGTCTAGTTCTAAAACAATAACGTGGCCTAGTTTTGGTATTTAGACATTGTTGTTATAATTAAAATATTATTGGCGCAATTCTTTAATTCATTAAATTAATTTTAATGAACGCTAAGATTCGGGTCCTTGTGACCAAAATAACTTTATGAATGCGTAATAGACAAGAATCTTGGCTATTCAACTGTCATCGGACTTTTTACAAGGTATTGTGAGTTAATATTTTATAAGATACATTTTACGCAGAACAACTGACGTGGGAAATATATAAAACGTATGAAACATTTTTGTACACTTTTACTTGTCTACCTACAGAATTTATCGTGATCAAATTTAATGACAAATGTACTAAAAAAATATCTTGTCTATAAACTAATTTCGACTTCACAGTTAATAAATGTTTTATTGTTTTGTTAAATTTGAATGATTTCTAGCACTGAAAACTTTAATATTTTTCACATGTTAGTGCGCAAGATGGCATTATATGACACTAGCGCGCGTTGAACCGACATTCACAGCAGCACATGCCGCCCGTGTCGTAATTTATTTTAATCTTAATAAATCCAATAATGCATATAACCTATCTAGAAAAAAAAGCACTTCATAAATTAGCCTCCGAGTTACAACTAATTAATATTACCTTATAAGTACACGAGGTATCGAAATACTAGAAAAATATATGAGTGTTATGTATTTATATTATACAAACGGTCTTAAACTTGACTGATATGGTCAGTATTTTGTATTACATAAGATAAGATTTGTTATAAAAATGAACAAATACATTTTATTATTCTTCGCTGATAAATACAGACATCAAATTTAGCACATGTAAAATGACTTCAAGAAACCACCATATTGTATAGTGGACGAGTGTAACGAGTTAGCATAAATAATCTGAAAGCATCATAAATTTACGCGAACAAATTAGGTTCTCTCGGCGAAGGTTTTGCGGCAAAGTATGATGCAGCATGCACTTATGTCGGAGAAACCACACAAATACTTCGGTGGGACAAGAAAACTTAAAGTTAAATAATAGGAACGATATGTGTGCCACTAAGTGCCAATATTTTGATTTTAGAATTTTTTACCTTAAAGATCCTTGTATGAAATTATGCCATTAAATACGGAAAGCATGAAATATATATTTTAACAATTGAATTAGTGTAAAGTAACAAACCTAACTAATCAACAAAAATTTCTTAAAACTCGATCATTTTTTTAAATCTTTATAAGTATTACTTCAATCTACTATGTGTATGTACCTTGTATAGGTATTTAGATAGTTTATTTATTTATTTTAGGTGTAGGTTATATTCTCAATTGGGGTTCAATGTATTTTTACCTTTAACATTTGGATAAAGAAGACCAGCACATACATTTTAAATTAAAAATCGATTAGAAATTAAAAAAAAAATTCCGACACGCCACGGACTCGATTCAGCAACCACAAAGCTCCGTGCTGTTGCTCTAACAAATTAAGCTACCGTGTCCTACACGTTATCATCGAATTTTTTCAACCTATTCATACATGCACATTTGGCGCAAAGTCCTGCGCGTGTCGTAATTTTTTTCAATTTATGTAAAATAACATGTGACAAATATAAAAGTTTTCAAACTTACATTTTAGTTAATACAAAATAATGCTTACCAAAATATGAATGACGTGCCCACAAATGAACCCAATAACGACAGTGCCTATTAAGCCGACAAGCAATCCGGCGTTTTTAAAGGCGAGAGGCATCGCCAGCACTCCAGACCCCAGAGACGCCTTCAAGAGATGAGCAAGAGCGCCGAAACTCCTGTAAAAAAGTTTATAATGACATCAGAAGGACGGAATGTCTCGGAGGTATAAAATTCGATGAGGAGCTTTGTACTGTACGATCCGATATCGTAATATATTTATATCTCCTTTGAGGTTAAACCGTTAATGTGACAGAGTTTTGCGCAAGAGATTGACGGTTAAAACCCTAGAGCAACATCATAATTTCCTTTGGTATGCCGCAAAAGTCTGTTCTACAACTCGCATGTAAATAAAAGCTATCAATTACACCGATCTATATAAAAGGAACTGGATATAAATTTTTATATCTACCATACTTAGCAAGAAATAATATATTGGAGGTATCAATACAATGAAGAGAAAACTTTTAAAGTTCTTGTCTATTTATATATTTTTCTTACTTTTATGGGTATGTTTTGTCCACGCATTATCAATAATGTTACAGTCAATGTAGTCTCTTTCTTAAAAGAACGATTGTCTATTAATCAAATATCTCTACGGCTTAGTCAACCATTATAATAGTAAATAAATATTGTTACAAGAGATCCAACATATCGTATCGGACCTAATAAAATATATATATGATTGTGTAAAATATTGGATAACCGAAGATGAATGGTTGCGGGTTATACGAAATTGACTTGTCGACTGTACTTCCTCAAAATAACTTTCAGATTGTGAGTGAGTTTAATCAACGTAACATTTTCCGACTCTCGAGAAAATTGCTTCAATCGAGTCTGTATTTTTACAACATAACGTTAAGTGGTACTTATACGGATAACTACATATTGTTATATAATTGAGATAGAGATAGAAATATACATATAAATGTAGTTGTAACTATATCTAACATGTCAAACTTTGAACAGTGTATATCATGTACCAATTTGGACACTAAAATTAGTTGTTATGATGAAAAATTACGTGCGTAGAACACAAGTTTATTGCATTTTTTGCCGTTAAAGAGTTTGAAAACTTTGATATTTCTCTCACCAATTCTATTTGCTCTAACCAATTGAGCTACCATGTCCTACATGTCAACGTCGATTTTTTCAATCTATTGATACATACAATGTAATTTTAATCTCGTCCGTAAAAAGCTTCCATTAAACCTCTTAAATGTCTCATATATGAAACTGGTTTAAGTTATTCGTAAATAATATTATAGTCTAAGCCAAGATTTGATAAATAAAATTGTATGAGAATTTATTCGAACTAAAATACGAGGGTAGTTTAGTTTTACCGATACGACGCCGGACAAGCTCAGCGCGAGCGCTGTCAAACACGGTTCGGGTGCGCGCTGCTTGTGGACAGTTTTGTTATATTTGTCTTTTGTGAATATTAAGTTATTACACCCTCGTGTTGTAGAGACTAATAGTTTTGTGTTATTAGTTTCAGAGTATTAGTGCCCAGTGCGTTTTTAAAAGTGATCGCTTTTGAAAACCCTTTTTTACATGTTATTGTAACCGGGTTGGTAGAGCAACGGCACGGAACGCTGACGATGTCGGTTCAAGTCCTGCCCGAGTCGAACATTATTTCAATTTATTTTAGATTTTTAAATTATATAGTGATTGCTTTTCTTAAAATCATTGTGCTATGTGTGTTGTGTATGTGTTTTTTGTAGAGTGACGTGCTTTATAAATAGTGTACACGAGTCAAGAGGCAATCGCTGGATCGGAGCTTGGAGGTACGTATTTAGATTTTAGAGTATTAAACTTGGTTGGCCAAATTATGCTTATTGCATATTCGCCGTTTTCTGCTGTGTGTTTCGAAATATTATTGTCACATACAATTGTTGATATGCACGATAGTTATACATACATGAGGAATCCTTTTAGATTTAAACACGTAAATATGCAACTGTGGACGTGGATTTGGATCCGGCTCATGACGGTCTACTTCTTTTAATCTAAAATAGATTTTAATTGTCAAACCCCTAAAGCGTTATATTTACATCTACAGTAACATATGTATACATATGATACTTTAAAAGGTAAAATTACTTACGAAGTGTTTGATTCCAATGGCCTGTTCTTAGCTGGTACATAGGGATCTAAGTCTTCTCTTGAACCATTGCTAGTCAATTCAATCCTGAAAGGGAAACATGGACATTAATTATAGTTGTAGGAATGTACTAGACTTTTTACTATTTTGCATATATTTATTAGGTATTTATAATAAAGAGAGGTTAGCATAGTCATAGTCTTTCGGGCTGTTCGGCCGACGTGAGCGAGAAGAGGATCTCGTCGGATTAATTCTTCGAGCAATCGAGGAACTAACATCTCCTGATGATGTCCGCACGTGATGGCGAAACGTCAAAAACCTTTTCTCGCTCACGTCGGCCGAACAGCCCGAAAGACAATGAATGATATGCTGAACGATGGCCGTGAAAGTCTTACACAATTTATTAAGGAGAGGCTAATTATACAATGATGTTCTTAAGCATGGGGATAAAAATAATCTTGATACTGTTTAAGGAATATCATTAATAAACTTAGTAGGCAATAAAAATGATATTTCAGACAAAAAAAAATGGGTTCAATATAGGTATATATGTAATGAAATTATAAAATTTTAATTCTTTGTCGTTAACACAGTTAGCAAGCAGGATAAATTAATACAAATATAGCTAATATACACAATATAGGAAATATATAATCCTCATTTAAATAAATATTTGCTAATGACATTTACAAACAACTTTTCAATTTTTTCTCTTATTTTCTATATTTGAAAATTTGTATGATTATTATCTCGTTGACCTACCAAAAGCGTGGTAATAAAACCTACAAAACTATTTATAATATATGCAATCTATCCGGCTTAGCATGACATTTTGTTATTTTTTTTTTTATATTTTATGTTTTATATGAATACTAGCGACCCGCTTCGCTTGGGTGCAATGCTGATACTAAATACACTAAACTACAGAAAAATTTTACGTCGTATATAAAAACCTTCCTTTTGTGAAAGAAATCATTCTATCTATTTACAAAAATCGCATCAAAATCCGTTGCGTAGTTTTAAAGATTTACGCGACTTTGTTTTATACTATATAGTGATTATGATTAGTGGAATACGGAATTAAAGAATCGTCAAATCCAGATTAAATTTTTAAAATAGTTATAATGTTAAACAAGTACAGTAAACTTCTATTCACCGATTCATATGTACGCCTTATAAAATGCATGCATGCAATGCGAATTTCCGATTATAATAGGATGTTGTTATCGCTAGGTTCCTTAAAGAACTCTTAACTACTGTAATATATCATTTGTTTTTAACAATAACGAAACGTGACGATCTATGATCGACATTGATTGGAATTGATCCCAATTTAACGGGTGTGAGGAAATAAGTGTTTTTTATTGCATCATCTGAAACGTGTGGACATTTTGCATATCTGGCATACCATCATATTTATTGTAAATTGACATTCTATTCGCAAACAATAAATGGAGTAGACCTCCACCATTAGAGCGATTGGCCAAAAAGTTTTAAAGAATTACATTGAAGTATTCAACTATTAGATTGTTAATACTGATTTTTTCCTGATTGAGAAGTTGATGATTTCGTGACCTAAATGGAATTTTTAAATTATTTAGAAACATGGTGGGGATTGAATCCTCTACTCGTTTATTATTAGCCACACGTTACTATTACACTGACGAGCCTGTCAAAATGATTTCGTAACGAATATCTTAATGCAGTGATGTTTAAAAGTAACACCTCAAAACATGTAAATAATTTTTCTTATTATTTTTTTTTACCGCCTTTACCTTAAATATCAAGTTGCTTCATTATTTTGTGTGACCTTTCTATTCGAATTATATTTAGTATTTTAAATAAAATATCTCACTTAGAGCTGTAAGGGTCGACGATAGTACGAATTTGCGGCACTCCATTTTCCCGGTCGCTTGGTATTTTCTCCATTTTCTCTCAACTTGAATGGTTCCTGAGTTATAAGCTTTCCTTTCACTTTATCTGCATCGCCGCGACAAGTTCCTAGGACAAAGGGAAAAATAAATTAGCGGAAATAGGGAAACAGATTTGTGTGTCCTAAAGCTCTTATAATCATACGAAAGATATTTTTGTGTTTCTATGTATCCCTATATAAGAAGGCTTGCGGAAGGCTTATGTGGTCGTGAACTATTACTCCTTTTTTTTCAACGATGGCATGAATGCACGACCACGTCGGGCAATAGAGACGTGAGGAGTGTGGTAAATTGATCTACACCCTCCTCGAAGACATAGTCCACCAGAACCACTAAACACACCACCAGCCCGCTACAGTCTTGAGAGAGCCTCAGGAACAAGTTTGTACGATTCCAAAGCTCCTAAGAACAATTATTCCTGAGATAAATATCGTTAAACGTAGAATTAATTAGGTCAAAGTTGTACAAATGCACATACAAGAACACAGAATAAATCTCACTCACAAAAAACACAAATTCGGCTGTATAAAATCCAACAAATTATCTTATCAAAGGAAATATTCATATATAGAGATGTTTTATTCAAATTTTCGATTTTATCCGGAATTCAATATGCGAATTTGTCAAGGTGAAAACATTATTAGCGCGACATTTTTCATTATTTCTTTTCGACGGTATTGAGGAAAATGCCTTCTTTCGAAGTAATAGCTATATTATAGTATAGAGTCGGTGCACACGCAAAACATTTCCGTACTAGCTGTGACTTCGTCCGCGTAGAGTTATTTGGGCATCAAAATTTGTTTTGCCAATCTCCTCTCCTTTATAAATTTTAGCCATTTTAACAATGTCGGTCGCATCCCGTCGTTCTTGCGAGTTAATCTTAACAGATAGATATTTGTTGTCGCGGACCTTTTTTAGATCATTGAAAGAGGATTAAATCTTTCATACATACTTTTTTGGTATCTTGAATCGTTGTCGCAATGCGCGTTATTTTTCCCGCCTTTTCCACATTGTCTATTGTTTCTTCGCTCCTATTAGTCACAGCGCAATCTTTTATAACCTATAGCCTTCCATGATAAATGCTCTAATTAATAGTTCCTGAGATTAGCTCGTTCAAACAAACAAACTCTTCAGCTTCATATATTAGTATAGATCTGCGTATTGTTACATTACTTCCTCAACACCGTGGTTCATGGTATACATGAATATTTTTTAATACATTAAACACCAGCTGTGTACTGTAAAACTAATGTGATGTGACTAAAATGTTTACTAGTATATACTATAAAATGTTTAGTAGTAGTAAACGTCGGGCCGAAGTTAAAAATCATTTTCAAATAAGTTTAACTAATATATCGCGTTTTAAACCGTTAAAGTGTTTTATTTAAATGTTTACTAGTATGTTAAATGTACAATAATTTTAATATTGTTTTTTTAACTTTTCGCCAATACATGCCAGAATACTAGATTAATTTTTTTTCACTCATTGGAAGTATAATTAGTTTCCTGTTATTGAATATTCAGCGCAAAGTTATTGGTTTTAATAACTTCATTACACTAAGTAGGCACATACTGTCTGTAGTTTACGTGAGTAGTACATATTTGAATAAAACATTTTATCGGTTAAAAACGCGATATATTTTAGTTAAACTTGTTTATATATTATTTTGAACTACGGTCCGACGTTTCGGAGGCTTTGCGGCAGCCGCGGTCCCTGGGAAACGGGTCAAACGGGAAAACGTTAAAGTGTTTTATTTAAATACACTACGTACTGAAATGATATACAATATATCAAGTTATATTGTAGATCATTTAGTTGGCAACATTGATAAATATGTCGATATATAAGTATTCTTCAAAAACTCGTTTTAAATTAAATATTAACCCACTCATCATGGGAAACACTTAGTTATTCTCAATTCTCTGAAAACACGTTTTGTGAGATAAGCCTTTAAAAAAAAGTTATATAATTTTTACATATTATCAAGCTAACAAGGTTTTTGCTCCCAAATACGAGATATAAGTAATTTATTTGAAATGGTAAAGTAGTATGTATATTATGTAGAGAAGTCGGACGCTTAGCAGCAGTTTGCAGCAGCAGACCACACATGCTGCAAAGGTTTCTTAGCGTCGGGTAGTTTTAAATAAGTTTAAAGTGTTTTATTTAAATGTGAACTATTCGCTCAAAGGAGACAATACCTGTTGTTATATTAGTATTTCTAATAAAACGGACACATTGCGGACTCACTGGCGATGAATTCTATAGCATGGGCTAGGTACACAAATATTATCTTGTTACCTTTTTTAGTTATTTCAAGTACCTATTTGTTTATTACGATTAATGTTATTGAATAAGCCAGTCGTCTATGAGCCACCTTTCTACTTTATTTTTAATTTTTATTACTAAAGTAAAATACAACTAAGTTATTTTAATATTTGAAGTGCCATCCTATTGCCATTATTAATATAGAGGTCCTAACTAGGTCTAGTCGTGGTTTTAAGATATAACCTGATGACAGACAGAGAGCATACGGAACCGAATAACGTATATTTAAGTTATACCCAAGTATGTGATTTATTGCTCTTTCTGCTGTTGCCACTAACTGAATACGTTATTTCACCGATTCCTATCTCGATGGATTTGGGAAAAATCCAATAACACATATTTACACTTCAAAGGCAGGTTACCAGCCTACCCTCTTCTGAATTGTCGACTTCAGTTTCATAAAGATTTTACGTAGTGGGGTGTTTACATCGTGTTTAGCACTGATTTCGGCTTAAATATAGTCCCATCAAAAACATAAATGTTAAATGAAAGCCAAGTTGAATTTGGTTGTTTTGCTTTGGTTGTTGACGAAGAAAAGGATTGAAATTCGTACGAAGTCTGAAAATTTATAATTTTCTCTATAACTTAGAATAATAGAATGTAGCCTGGGATCTTTCTTGGGATCTCATATAAGTTTTTATCTCGCAGGCCAAATTTTCGAGGAGGTGAAAAGTGGGTCCAAATGGTTCGAGTGACGATACACTTGCCCCTCCTCACCAGTTCATTTGAACTTGTCTAGATTTGTATTTCTAACCAATACAACAAATAAAGACAACCCTACTTTGCGTTTTGAGTTAGAAAAACAACTTTTAAATAAGGTAATTTGAAAGTATTTACAGTTCTTTCGTTGAGTTAGTTTCGTTCACCGACACATTGTTTGTTTTATCTTTTTCCTTAATTCGTCATAATGTCTTTGGCTCGATTATTTTCTGAGCCAAAAATCATTTTAAAATACTAAACGATATTAAAACCACACCTTACAAATTGTCCATAATTCACGTGAGTAGTACATATTTATATAACACTTCTAACGGTTTAAAATGCGAAACACATTATAGTTTTAATTGACAGACAGTTTTATTTACTTATCTATATAAAGTTTTAAAACTAAACTAGCAATACGACAAGTAGATACTAATAGTTAATACACGAAAGAAAATTAAATTTAATTTTAAACTCACCTCTGTCAGTAATTAATGATGTGTATCGAGGTGCTTATCGCGAAGGAATCTGTTATCAACTGTCATCATTCGTGATACAGAATGTCTTATTTTGTTCGTAGGTTGTTAACCGTGATATTTAATTGTTATTTGTATTATGTAGCTTATATCACCACTATGACTCAGTAGTCAAACGCGTTGCCTAGATTTAACTCAAAGCTTAAATCTTTCACATTGTAATAATAAAACATTTTTTTTTTCACAAACAAACTTACATAAAAGTAGAACATAGACGCGTAAAATAATATATACTAATATACATTTTTGTGCCTAATTGCTATTTATTCGGGATTTTTACGGGTTTCAATACCAACGTTAATGAAAACGGCGCGTGCCGCAAAAATGCTACTGTGCAATTTTCAATTATACTTCAGTATTTTTAATATAGTAAATATTTAATTATCTTTAATTAATTCTTAAAGGCTTTGCAGCAGCCGTGCCGTGTCTCTCCGTGGCCACGGCTGCTGCAAAGCATCCGAAACGTCGGGCCGAAGTTAAAAATCATTTTCAAATAAGTTTAACTAATATATCGCGTTTTAAATCGTTAAAGTGTTTTATTTTAATGTGTACTACTCGCGTAAACTATAGACAGTATTTAAGTTCTTGTATTATTTCTCACATATCGCCATGAAAAGGAAAATTCAAACCTATGTTTGCCGCAAAACGTGTCAGCATTTTTTTATCTAATGCAATAAATCACTACCCTAGGTATAAACCTCTTATAATTCAGATTAGTAAACTGATAAGTTCTATTACACAGATAAGATTATTATCTGAAGAGTTATTCGTGAAGTATTTGAACTATCAATCCAAGGTCAAGATGAAAAAAAGTAAAGTTTATAAGATATTAGCAGTGTCAGCGACTTCGTCCGCGTAGATAAGTTATTTTGGGCGCCTAAATTTGTTTTTGCAAACCTCTCCATCTTTATAAGTTGAATGGTTACACACGACATCGGGCACATCCCGTCGTATTTGCAAGTTTTTTTAGCAATTTTTAGCAAGACTTTTTTTAAAATCATTTTAGAATAAATCATTTTTTGGGTATCTTGAACCATTTTCGTAGCGAAAATACTAGCTTTTTCTATCATTTTATCACAAAAATGAAAATGATTTTTCCCATCTTGCCACTTACCCAAATTCAATATTGCCACGAAAGCCACACACATTTTTGTGGCATATAAAAACGTTATTTTAGGGTACCACCCTAAAATAGGACCTTAAAAGTGAGTTACAAATAAACCAAGAAAAATACATTATTTTATATAAATCTTAATATATTGTATATTTAATAAGTACAATTATACTTATTAAATGCGTATAATTGTACTTATTAAATAAGTATAATTATACGCATTAATTAAAATAATAATATAATAATGTACTTTTGTTTGCCGATCGCTTGTTAATAACTGTAATTAATTTCCCATGTTAACTAGTTTGTTAATAGCTAGC